TCCTATATCAAAATTAGAAGCAAATTGATATCATAAGACTGATTTCTGAAGGAAGACACATTGGGCTTTTGCTTTTCTCCATGTAAAACGCAAATGGTTCCCATTTCGGAAGAGATGTTTGCCTTAATCTACAGGCTTTACATGCTTTATCTAGGTGTAATTCTAAATCCTATTTCCGCAACGTAGGAAAGGTAAGGTTGCTGAAGACAGTCATCAAGAGCCCGCGATACCTTGAACTGCTTGACAGCCTTGGAGAAGAAAAAGTGGTTAGTGATAGCGATATAGAAGATTTTCAGAAGTTTGTTCAAATGGTAATGTATTCTGACAAGGTCAAGAGAAGCTATGTGGAAACAAGACTAAAAATGTATAACAAAATGAAAGTAACATTTAACTCCCTTCTGATTCACATTCCTAGAAGATAGCCTACTGCTGATTGCGTTGCGTAGAACCATCCGTCAAGACTTTCTTTCGAAAGTTGTGGCTGGAAGGGTCTTCTGAAGAGTCTTCCTTAAAATCTTGCTGCCTCCTTCTTTGAAGTCAAGACGGAAAAACAAGAGCCGGCTTTCAGAAAACGTTGGGGCAGATGTCGAAAGTGGCAATGAAAATCTCCCTGCTCCAAAGAAATACAAGAGATGTACTGAGGTACCGAAATAGGCCCGTAGTGTCGACGAAATCGGTGCTAGTAACGAATACAAGCAAACAACAGACCAGGTAGACTCTCACCTAAGTAGCACTGAACTTTCTGATGAACTAGAGAGTGAACGGGAAGTTTATGACTTCAGTTCGTCGGAGGATTCTGGCGGTAAATGGATTTGAGGCAAATATATAACGTAAATCCTCGAATAAGCCCCCTGGGGGCTTATTTATTTCTTATATTTTTGAATGGGGGCATATTCGTGGGGGGGGGGCTGATACGAGGGGGGTTATAAAATTATTGTAGACATTAAGAAGACATTAGTAAAAGACGTCATTTATTTTAATAGGAATTTCTTTATGAGCATTTAATCAATTACTACCAAACGTATGAATTGTTGTGGTAATTCAATAAAACGCCGTAGGCAACCTCAGATGGCAAAAATCATCAAATTGAGGGGTCCCATTCGAGAATTTATGGTAGCAGTGGGGGCTTATTCGAGGGGGGCTTATTGACATTTTGTAGTGCTAGGGTGGGGACTTTTTCGAGGGGGAGGGGCAATTCGAGGATTTAAACGTTAAATTGAGTGATGCAGAATAATTACCTGACAAAACAATGCCACAAAACGATCCAGAAATGCAGTTGATTAGATCAGAGCTTTTGTCTAAAAATGTACTGTTCGACGGCCATTTTGAGAGTGATGACGTCATCATTGAAAATTGCTGACATCGTTAAAATACTGATGTGTATATATCATTGGAAAGCTTTCCTTCAGGCGAGCCCGAATCTAGCATTTATATTGAGGTCAGACGTATACTTGAGAAGTTACAATGGTTTTGAGTCTAGGAAACATAACTTTTTTGACGTCATCGGTAACGTGACTTTGATGAATTTTTGAAAATGTTGTAAGGGCTTAAATAATTCGTTATACCATATTGTTCCATAATCAGCCGAGAAAACAAAGGTTAGGCAATGCGGTCGATGGTTCAGAGGAATGCCCTGCCTATTTTGATTATTGCTTATTAAGAATTTTCTGTTAGCTGGATCCTTGGAGTTCTCTTATCAACAACAGAAATTGATATGCCAACGAGTGATGTGAGCTCTGTTATAAATAGCGAAGCTTGCCGCTAAAATTTTAGCCTAATTGTGTCAAAATCGCCGCCTCGCTATGAATCCGTAACAAAACTTTTCCGGATAGCTGGTTCAAACGATGCCGAATAACTTTGAAATCGTCTAGTTAGATGGATCAAAGGCCTTGTATGGCTAACCGAATCAATTTCTATACGGGTAGCTCAGTACTTGTGTAAACTGAAAGCCTATCCGTATAACTTTCTATCCGGATCAAAAGTTATCCGGCATCGTGTAAACGCAGCCTGAGATAAAAGCTAAAGATTAATGGGCAGATTTCCAAAGCCTTTATCTTCAAGAACAACTTTTCTATTTTATTCCAATTAAGTAGAAAATAGCTTGAGTTGATCCTGTTATATTTCAAAGATTTTAGCTGGTAAGTTGAATGAAATTATAGCCGTTGCCAGACAGATGGCATGACACTGCATTGCAACGCTACCCGTTTTCCCCTACTTTTCTACGTTTGACTTTACATTTGTATTGCTACAACTATTCCTCACACTTTTAGCTACATTTCAGGTTGAAAGGTAATGCACATCTGAATGGGAAGCCCAAAGTAGAAATTCTTTATTTCATAAGACCATCTGGGCCACAGCTTAAAGTTGCTTTATTATTCAAGAACGAGTTTCTTCATAACGTTGTGAATTTATTTTATGGAGAAAAAACCATGACCATTGAATGGATGCGATTTAAAACTATAGGTAGGTATCAGCCAAAGTATTGTCTTATAATATCGATTTAAGTCAAGCTTCCATGCCCCTAATAACCTATTATCTTCTTGTGGGTTTAACTTCATACTCCTCCTGTTTACAGAACTTTATTCACGTGTAGCATTTGTATCCGTATGATCGAAATTTTTCTGTTTGATGCCAGAAACTTTGTGTAATACATTCAACAGTTGATCTGCTTGTGTCAAGCAATTATTACAAAAGCATGTGCAATTATAAAAAACGACTTAAATGTGCTATTAACTTCACATTGTTAAGGATCTATGCAGTTGCTATATTTTGTCGAAATGATTTTGAAATACGCAAACATTAGAACGACATAATTGTAAATCAACCCAGCAAGGCCCGAGTATGTCCTTATTAAATCGTTATCATTTTGAACGGGTTTTAAGCATTATTTTGGGTTTGCCATCAGTATTTACTGTTAGTTTCAGTACACTGTTTATGGTACTATGCTTAGACAATTCTTATTCAATTCATTTTGCAGCTGTCGTGATGAAACAAGGAGGTATAAGAGGACAGCAATACCACCCTTTTGACAGAAATCAATTCGAAAATGTTGACAAAAGTAATGTTTAAACGCATTTGATTTTTATTTTTCCACATCAGTTTTTTGGCAGGAGTAAATTTATGCTACAGAAAACACTGGCTAAATGTTATTTGTTTTCCGACGAATGACCTTTATTCTGAATAAATTTGGTATTAAAGTTCTTATCACCCTTATTTTCAAGAAATTAACTTTTAAAACTGAATCGTTTTATATTCCTTCACTCGTTTGCCAATCATGCGTCTTTGTGAGAGAGTTGTGTGGATACACAGTGATGTGATACTAAATCATTATGGTTCTGCTTTTTGTATATAGATTTAGTAATAAATATGCTAGTATAGGCGGTTAGGAAGAATAAATCACAAACTAGTATCGAAGAGCTGGTTTCTTCTGTTCTGATGTGGACACGGTAGTAAGCATATATGTAAAGATGCTGCTTCATTTGTCAGTTCTGCATATTTTGTTGGTATTGAAGATTTTTTAAAATGTATTGATGCATATAGTAAATTTTAAACATTACATTATTCTTTCAGGTTTTGATGAAGGAATAGGTTTTGGTGCAGATCTACTTAATTTGAAAGGGTGCATCAGAAAGGAATCGAAAATGTGCAAATTCCTTAAAGCCCAGCTTACGAAGAATGCCAACTTTGTTTACTATGGTCAAATGTTGAAAGGGGTTATGAGAATGCGCGCAAGGTTGCAGTGGAAAGTCACTTTTGGCAAGGCGCTCGAGTTTCAATGCTCAGAAAGTCACATGAGGGTGAAAAAGGATGGACAAAGACTTGTTTTTGGCGGAAATTTCAGAATAGTTCACACATCCGAAGTATTCGAAGGCAAGTGGATCAGTTATTTTACAAGACAGTGTTTTAAAACAAGGAGAGTATCAGTAGCCAAATTTACAAAATTTCTATTGCATTTCCTGATTAATTTGACATTAAAGGAGTGTGTGGATGTTTTTAAGTTTGTTCAAGTTTATAGATTGTTAACACAAACTCCCCACCCCCCGTAGTACTGGGGGCAGCTAAACAACAGGAATATGACAGCAAATGAATCGTGGAAGAAAGAAGAAAGGAAAAGAAGGAAAAAGAAGGAAAAAGAAGGAAAGAGGGTTTAAGAAGGGGCAGAAGGAAAATAATTAGAATGGAAGTGTGTGTGTGTGTGCCATAGGACTTTATGAGCACAGCTTTTTTTCCCATGAGATGGCTTAGCTGCTATTTGGTCTCTTTAAGTGCAACTCTTTTCTCCAGTCCGCACCGAGCAGAAAAAAACACACACAATTCTCATATGGATTTTAGAGTAATCTGGAAAAATCCTTCAGAATCCAGAAAACAAACGTTCTGACTTGTGTAGACTGAGGGGCTGGTTGTCCTTTTTTGCTCTTCTACTTTATGGTCATCAAACTGAAGCATCAGCGTTTGTTTATGTACCCAGATGAAAACACTTTTCATCTACAGATATGTCTTTGCAATTTGCATTCTTTTTATCCTTTGGATCATCTTCCTGTACACCTTTTGGCCATTCACATTTTCTTTAACTGCTAACCTGGCTTTGAATGTTGTCCACCTACTATCCTACACTTATTGGATGCCAGAAAAGCCTTTGTTCTTTTTTCTATAATTTCAGTCTTCCCATTGCTACTGCTGTCTTTGTGTAAATTTTACCTCAAACACATTGCTATCTCTGTTTTTCCATGTAAACACAATTTTACTCTTTTAGCAATCGCTTTTAAAGGTGTGATTTCTAGCAAGCTGTTGCGAATATGTCAATTTTTCTCATCAAAAAATCTTTGCAAAATCACCCCTTGCTATTGCTGAAATTTTTCTTAATTCTTGGTTATTTCTTGCATTGTGAGTGATTATAGCACCTGGCAAGCTAAATTTATTTGCTTGCTCTTGACGAATGTTTTAACTCTTCTTCATTTCTGTTTATTCACAATTAATTTTTTAACGCGCACAATAAACTTTGGTAAGAAAATTGCTGATGGTTTGAATACGTGAATGCGTTTGATTTTCAAGCCATTCGCTCGAGTAATTTAAGTAGACATGGTGTTTTGTCAAATATGATATCTGGGGTACTTAGGCTTACGGAGTTTTCACTTATCTTGACTGGTAGGGGAGGTCAATGGTAGGAGCGTTTCACGAAAAAAACCTTCGTTTTGGCACCATTAGATTTTTTAAAGGCAGTCTGTCCCCTCAATGATTGGCTTATATGAACAATAGGTGTTCCCGCCTTAACGGATAACGGATTACGATGCTTGCTTTGGCTGGCCTAGCTGCGGTAGTGAACGACATTTGAAACTGCGAGCAAAAAGCTATCGGGAATGGCAAGAAGATTTAATTACTCGAATTGAATGATGATAATGGAAGCATTTCCTTTCACTGTTGGGATATTTGTCACAGGAACTAAACAGGAAGCCATATTTTTCTAGCCACAGTTTCACTACAACGGGAACAGGTGCATTTGATTCAAAGGCTCTGGAATAAAAGTTGTCTCTGATTGGTTTAAATCGTTTAATTATCGACCAAGCTCAACGGTGCGTGAATTTCACTCCCGTGAAAATAAAGTTCAGCACAATAGGGGACAGACTGCCTTTAAACAGTAAGACAAGTCAAACACCTTCTAGACAAGAACAAATTATCTGCTATTGGGTGTCTAAATTCGTCCAACAGTACTGTAATATAAAAAAACATTTTATGATAGAATTAATTTGCGGTAAATTAAATCTTCACTTGATTATAAACGACGCCTCTAAAACCATCTGTCACTTTCTTATTAGCCATTTGCTATTACAGATATGCTTTTATGAAGTAAAAAAATCTTCTAAACACGATTGCAACTATTTTGCAGATACTGTGAGGATATTTCGAGTAAATGACGAATCGAGTTCTTTTTCCAGGAAAGATATACGATGATGGAACAAATATCTTGATGCTAGAGTTTGGAGGGAAAGCAACAGATGAATCAGACAAAATTTTGAATTTAGGTTACGCCAAGCTTCGCCCAGTTCGGGCAAAATTCCCAATTTCTGGCAAGGAAATAGATGCTATTCGTAAGTCTGATTTGGCATTTTGAGTTGTACGTTGGCATAGTGTTTCTTACAGTTGTATAAGACCAATTTTTTGACCAAGAGTGTTTTACTGATTCGACGAATGCCAATAGCAATTGAAGTCAGGAAAAGTAATTTTCAATCAAATTTTGCATATTCCTTATTGTTTTTCAAGTATCATGATGATTATAATGATATTTTCTTATAATATATTTTTTGAAGGCTGGCGTTATGAAGCACTAGGCCGATTTGCTAATGCCAACCATTTTTGATTCAAAAGCAGTATTTAAACTATAAAACAAAATATACGTTCCTATACAATCTATAGTTCATTTGGTATAAAAATCATTTTCTTTCATTTTAATGGTTACCATTTGCAACTCTTTGATATGCAGGGGTCACTCTCTCCAGAGGTAGAAGCTTGCTATTCAATAGCAGTAGTCCTGGGCTTTTATTGCATAGGTGTTATTCGTATCACTTAAGTTGTAATGTACTCCTCTCTCCTTGAAATTTTTTATGAAGAAGGGATTTAGAGTCATTCTTGTTCCTATATTTCAGTGAAAGGTAATTGTAAACTTCTTCAATGAACAGAGATCGAATTATCTCTGATTCACAGTTCTCCAGAGAAGAGGTTATCCCTGAAAACACCGTTTGTTATGTTCTTTAATGAATGTAACTGGTTACCTTCTCACATTCTATCAGTTAACATCCATATCAATGGATAACAGCTAAACTGAGGCATCACAATTGCTCCCAACAAGTTAATAACTTTTCTTCTGAATTCACAAGAGTATGTATTTTCTGGCTTGCTCAAGATCCAATTTTGGTCAGTAAGGATGCCAAAATATTTCACCTCGTTGCTCTCTTGATCACAGTGAGGTCAATATTCTTTTCTTTTCAAGCTGCGAGATAAGCTTCTGTATTTAGATGAGAGATGAAAAAATTCATCTCCAAGTTGATTGCAGACTTAAATCTTGATCAGCAAGAGAAATTATCGTTGATAAATTTTGATAAAAGAAGAAGTCCTAGGACTGATTCTGGGAATGATCCTTTCTGACATCTAATATCATTTCTTTCCAAGAGCTGAATTAGCAATTGGCTTTTAATTGTTGCTATATACAATAAGGCTGTAAATTACTCGTACATAATTCTTTCCAGATCTGTAGTATTATTAGACGCGCTCAAATGTAAGCAACTTTTGATCTTTTTCTTTGCAAGCAGCTCAGACTTTTAGACTTTTAGAATCAGTTTATTTGTTTCTCCAGGTCTTCGATCAAGATTGTATCTTGGCACAGTTCTGAACGAACAAATTGAGTTCAGTGGGGACACTGGGCGACAGAACATCTGGTACAAGAAATCGACGAGCCCTATAGTAAAATTTGTTGGTAGCAAGGTGCGGTTGAACCATAAGAAGATATTCAAGGCATTTGGTGTTTGCAAATCCCAGCAGAATAAACTGGTGCTGCTTTTTGAACAACGTCGATATGGTTATAGCTCTAGCAATAAAGGTACGCTTTGAGTTCATTTTTGCTCGGCAGCACAACATGAACATTCTGAAATGCAGTCAGGGTCAGCAATTTAATCTGTTACAGCTTCTAGCGGTGATAAAAGTCTTTAATGAAGCTATCCAAGAAATATCGGTATTTCCATAATTAGTTTCAAATGCCTTAAGTGAATTAAACAGGTAATTGTGTACACTCTGAGCTTTTTCTCAATATATTAACAGCTGCAATATAATCAAAAAAGGTAGTTTGCGAATGAAAAAGTCAAACGTAATTATATAGAAGCCTAGTGGAATTAAAAGGTATGACTAGCAATTGCAAAGTCCAAAAAATTGTCACCTTTCCAGAAGTATGATACAGATTAAAAAAATATGAAAGCATTAGAATAAGTAGATAACAGGCCATGCAAACAAATCAGTATTAGCCTTCTTCATTGATGAAAGAGTGTATTGATTAGGCCATAGTTCGAAATTCATCAATTCAATATCATCTGAACTGAAAAGTTTTCTTTATTGTGGGCAAAGCAAAAGCAGAATGCGCTTCTATCTCATTCAACCTTGCAAGGTTAACCATATCAAATAATTTTACGCCCCTTTTCTAGAATGGCATGTTCCTGAATTTGATGTGATAATTAAAAAAGGGCTGCACTTCTATGGCAAAAAATGACTACCAGTGCAGGAGAAATATACAGTCAACAGTCAACGTATTGGATAATATGCAGATTGAAACAATATTAAATTGAGACCATTAAAGTACGGCAAAGTAACTAAAGATAAAAATGGCAAAGTAGGCTTTAAAAATGTCAATTTTTTCTGTTCGAGGCTGCTGGCCGACCTGAGGCTGGGCCTAACTTAATTGTAATGGAGCTGATCAGCAATGAAGGAGTGTGTTTTGATAGTAGTGTCCATTTGTTTTCAATCGATGCTGTATAACTTGTTAATGCCAAGTGTTCTTTTCAATCATAAGTATATTGAAAGATAACACTGTAATCTACATGAAAGAAACTGGTAATAAGATTGCTTTTGGTTGAATCAGTATGTTGCTTGAAACATAATAGCACTTTTTTCAATAATAACCTTCTTCATGCCTCATATCTAACGCATTAACCATAAGGTATAAAGTAGAGCTGCATTTTCAACTTTGTAACGAAGAGTTTTCTGTAACTTTAAATATGTATTCGTCTATATTCAAATAGTGAATTTTATTGCAATCCATGAAGTCAATCAACTGTTTGTTCTCATTGCTTAGTCTTGTATATCATTTGAGATATTATTTTTTTCACTTTAGTTATTGTGAACAGCTGGATTGGAAGGAAACTTTATAGCAAGGGTTTTGAAAAGAAGCGAAACAGATTTGATTTTATCAACTAAAACTTAGAGGTAAAATTTACAAGGAAACCGATGTTACTGACGTATTGCTCACAACCAAAGGTGAAGACAAACGTCTGATTTTAAATTCAAGGCAAGTTTTTACTGGTTATCTAAATTTAATTAATTCTAACGTTAATTCAAGACAGCAAGCTTGAAAAAGAATTTTTGAGTTTATCTTCTTAGTCAGAAAATCTAAAACTTTTTACCGTTAATCTAGAAACGTAATACTATGTTGCTTGTCAAGTTTTTATTCAATATCTTATTCTCTATCTTTTCTTTTGTCTGAGTAAAGCAGCACTTTGAAGATAAATTCCCTTTCGTTATTGCCTTGCTTTTCTCGTTTTTAATTAATCTTGATTAATTAACCCAATTCCCATGACACTTAACAGATCTCAAAAGCTTGACTATTTTAAACTAAATTCTGTTTTTCTTTTCTGAAGTTGTATGGTGTATCTGCTTTCTAGTACCAAGTCATTAACTGGACAGGCGAATTCAAATGTAAATGAAAAACCTTAAGGAGGTTTTGCAGATATCATACAGAAGCGAAAAAAGGAAAAACCAGCGCCATCAAAGTTTTTAAGGAAACTAAAAAGATACTAGATGAATACAGAAAGAGGCAAACAGATTATTCTCAAAAAATGGAGTCTCTTCAAAGCCAGGTTTTATTCTATGGATGCTGATGTTGACGCATCGCGTCCTAGATATATCGGCAGATTGTATCGATCAATGCAGGACAGCATGTTTAAATCATATAAATATAACACCTTAGATATTTTCAACCTTTGCCTCTTCACATCTTCATGTGTCATAGTCTTCCATTAGTTTTCAAAAACTCACCGATCATATAAATCTTTCATTGACACAGCGATTGTCAGTGTCTCTATTTAGTTTTTTAAAGATAAAACGTAGTTCAAGTTCTGAGAATCCTAAATTAGCATCTAAACTAAATGAAAAAACCCAACAGAGCAAAAGTATATGCTTAACTGTTGTAAAAATAGAAAATAACGTTCGTTTGTAGATTGAATGATTCATGCAACCATACAAATATATCATGAGAGTTTGTCTTGTAACTGAATTAAAGCTAACAAGCTTATGCAAGTTGAATAAAAGTATTAGGGTTGGATTTCTGAAAATGTAATCTAGCCCTAGTGGCGTGGTGGATATACAATTAAGATAAGGCTAACTACTTACACTTTCAAATCCAACCTTGTTTTTCATTTGTGAAAAATCGTCATTTTTGCAGTGGCAATTCCTGGTATCGAGTGGCAGCAAGACTGCATTAGGCAAGCAGGAGGGGTGAAAAACATGAAGTGTATGAAATGGGCTGCAGACAAAGTAAAGTTTGTAAATGTTATTTGTATCTTAAAATGTGAAGCAAAAGAAGTTGCTTCAGCTGGAAAAGCGTCAGAAAATCTCCGGAAAATAACGCGTGAGTTGATTTAATTTAGGAGATTACAGCTTACTCAGTCACTTAGGAAGTATCAACGTTGCACATCTAAAGTTATCAATGCTCAGACCGTATTTTAAATAGCCAACTTGTAAATGTACAAGAAAATGACTTATTTGAAAATTGGTAAGTCGAATGTAAATCACATAATGTAGACGGCTATTCGAAATATCGGTTTGATTTTGACACTATCTTCATTTTGTCAAGAGAATTGCAACATTAGGGCTTAAAGTAGAATAAAATGCTTAAATCAATTTCCAACAAGTGTTTCATCAATATTAACAATATTTCTTATAGACTTTGGTTAACAGCTATCGGGAGACAAAGATCCTTTTAGACAATAATGGAAAATTGATCGATCTCGCCAGAGAAGCTAAAAGCATTGCTAGCAGTACAAAGCAAATTAGTTACAAACAAGTCAGGTGTGGAAAAGAGCTGAAAGGCTCTTGGCTGCGAGAGCATCTGGAAATTTGGTCGAATATTACAACTCTGAAGGTTGATGAAAGTGTTGAAAATCTAAAAACCACCTGTCCGCTTCAACTCGATTTCACGCTTAACACAAAAGATTCCCGAAGCACATTCTGGAAGGACACAAAAATTTGTTTTTAATGGAGAGTTCTTTAAAAATGTTGGCGCTAAAGTGGTAAAGAGAGTCATTCCAACTATTGATGAAATGATAGAGTTTTTTTGAAGAAGCACAGTGCGCTTATAGCCGGATTGATTGCAATTAAGGAAAAGCTTGGAAAGAGTATTGAAAGACACGAAAAAGGAAGACAAAAAGGTCACTTGTAAGCAACATCAGCAATAGATCTCGTTACAAAAATTTGATGAAAATCGCCCGGAGAAGAATCCCAAAGTTACAGTTTAAAGAAGATAAACCACGATGGCTTTCAAGTATTATTCGCCGTGGGCCAGTGCTAAACGTTACACAATTTGGAATCACAATACCCACACTACAGGATCAATCACGTTCGATATGTGGCATTAAAAAGGTAATTGAATAAGGTTTATCAAATTTTTGTAGTTCTGGAGTTGCAGTTAAGATGCAAGAAACGTGAAAGAAGTGTTAAGTTTGCAAAGAAGATCCAATTCGGTCCATTGTTGAAAAGAAATAATTAACTTTTTCCTTTTATCCACTTACGAACCTTAGGGTAGTTTAGACAGCGCGGTATGGCGCAGCGAATTAAATTCAATTAGATGCAGCTTCAAAATTGCGCCCCCGTTTAGGCGCTTCTCAATTTGTTGTTGGTTTTAGACAAGCGCAAGCGAATTGAACCATCCTTCTTTC